GTCCCTGCAAATTTAACCCGCCACCGCCCCCACTTCCGATACTCGCCGGGGGTAAAATTTGGGTCCCCATCCCCGTCCTCGGCGAGGTTCGGGTTTTCCCGCCCCGTCCCCGTCCCCGCCCCCGCTCTCCGCTCTTATTTTTTTTCTTCTTTTTTTTCTTTTTTATTTTAAATAAATATGAACAATTTTAAAAAAATAAAAGAAAAGTAAAATAATATAAATTTTTACATATAAATATTTTTAATTTTGGTTTATATATATATATATAAATAATTTTTTAATTATATCCCCGATTTTATCAATCGGGGAAAACTTGAAACCGAAACTGAACCCGATAAACACGGGTTTTCCCTGTCCAAATCAGGGCGGGTTTGGGCGGGTACCCACGGGGACGGGTTAGATTGTCATGCCTACTAGACACTACTATACAGAATAATTAACCTTACCTTTATTATTGTATTTTTTAATTAATAAAAGTTACTATTTTAATTATTGTATTTATACATTCTAATTTTATTCAAAGTAATAATTTATCATTAATTAACTGATAAAAGTTATAATAAATATTATTTCTTCATAAAAATTATAATTAATAATAAATTAGGTTATTGTAATGACGTAATAGGTCATTACATTTAATATGGTATAATTACTACTTGACAAAAAACTACCAAACAACATTCAACTATCCTAGTATGTATGCATATACAGGACAGGATACAAAATTAATTGAAATCATAAATCTCCTTATGGGGTTATGTACATACCTTGTACACATATATAATCTACATGAACTACATAATTGTACATAGAATAATCTTATTCATCAGTCAAACGTTTGTACAACATTTTTCTATACCAACATAACAAATACAAAATGGGGCACTAGGAGCGTGACCATCCACCCCTATCAAAGTCATTATGCTAATCTTGTCATGCTTCTACATAAAGTATGATTATTGTAGTTCCAACCACAAGGAAAAGAAAGGGCAATTAAGCTTGTGAAAAATTAACATACATTCACAACAACAGATTGCAACAATACAATATAAACAACTAAATCAACATTTAATGTAACTCAAACTTCTCAACTTTCAGCTCGTTAATAACATCATCATACGAACATATCGACAACTTACAACACAAATAACTTTAAAACTTCAACATATAATTATACATAAATTTCTCAACATAAATCAATAATAAGTAATTAATGCATTGTCACATATATCAACTAAGGAGATATCATATAATAAAGGTGAGCAGTTTAAGTGGTTATATCCTATCAAACCATAGTGTCTGATTTATTATGACCAGATCAAGTATAAACAGTGTTAAACCTATTGAAGTGTCAAGTATACAACTTAATTTGATTTCTTAGGTTTCACCACTAAACTATGAAGTATAATATTTCTGTTAAGGTAGAACAACTTGGGTATGAGTCTATCATAACATTAACTTACATCACTAAGTCTCCTATGAAATTAACCTAGTGAATACCATTCAAATACTACGTCATTCTAATACTTAACCAAGGACCAAGCCCCCGACCTTATACCATACTCAATTGGTCACTTCAACTACAATATCGATCAACCACAACTCCATATTGTTCCACATAAATTCTAGAAGGGACAACTTTAAACAACATAACTCTCATCTAATCTTTATGTATTTCAACTAAGACATATATCTTCACCACATGTCTAACAACTCAATTACATATTCAATTATAGCATTATCCCAACTTACAACTTAATCTTCTATCAGCTTACATCTTAACAACACAAACATCACCATGCATTATATCAACTGAATGCATAATGAGTTATAATCATACAACATTCATCATATAATTTCATCATTATTCTTCATCTATTAATCAACTTAAAACATCACATTTTATCAAACAACTCACGCTTGGTGCTATTCCCTAGGAGCTCGACGCTATCGAGATAAGGGACTTGTTGTCTCGCCCACGCCAATACCATTCAACCTACACCTAGTGTGGGTGAGATCAAGGATCCCCTAGGATAGTCAGGCCTAGTATGACTACACCCATGCTCGACATCAATTTAGGTAGAGATGATTCTCTCACCTCACGTTCGATGTCATTCAATCCATGTCTGATAGAACCAAGGCATAAATTTTTCTCTCTCCTCATGCCCAACACCACCAATCCTATACCCAGTGTAATGAGATAGAGAGTCAATGATTTGTGTCACGTCCAACATTATGAAGGTGCGTCCAATATGATGACGAGTTTTGCACTTGGCAAAAACTTGTTTTGGCTCATTTCACATGAAATTCAACGAATACTAACATGCAATAGGTAACTCAACTTATATGAAACATATAGAACTCGAAATTAACTCCATAAGCAACATGCAACTAAAGATTTACAAGAATCATTAATTCATCTATAACCACCTCCAAGACCCAAAACTCAAGCAAACCATTTTCTCATGGAATTCTATTCAAAAATAGCCAACATTTGATGAGTATCAACAACAAACAATTATCACATTCCATCAATGATCAAACACAAAACTTCTCTTACCTTTAGTCACTCAAAAGAGAAGAGAAGAGGAAGAAGGACAAAAATTCCGCATAATTTTCAACTTGGTATTCCCTTTAACTAAAGACTAATGTGATTTTTATTTAGTTAGATTACACTTTTGATTTTTCTATAATTTTTGCTTGTAATTTTGATTTATCTATTTTTAATTAAGAAGTTTTGATCTCCAAAATTTTCAAATTATGTAAATTTGGTTGCCTCTATCAATTAATTGTTAATTGATTGTTACTTGACGATGACATAACATTAATGTTGACATGTTACTTTAGTAGTGATATGATGACTCAAATAAATTAATAAGGTGATACTTTAATAATGACATGGATTAAAACTCATATTCTTCACTATAATTTTCACCATTTAAATGACTAAATCACTTAATATTTTTTTGTTATAAAGTGAACACCATATAATATATAACAATACTGCTTGAGATAATTACTCTTTTTTTTTAACTTCTTATCTAATATTGTTTTTAAATCATTAAATAATAATTTTGTTTAATAAAAATAATAATTATTTATTTTTGCATAAATTAGTTATACAATTTACTATTTAATATATTATTGTACAACAAATATAAATATACAATCATTGTTATCTTTTATTTCCTTTTCAAGTATGTCTTTCTCTTTTCTTTATTACACCAATAACGTTACAACATATTTTCCTACACCAATAATATTATAGTTCTCATTCATTTACCAATTAGGGTGTCACTTTATCACTAAATTTAGATCGTTACATCATCATCAAAGTATTGCATTATCAAAATATGTCGATATTAATATTATATCATTATCGTCAATTAATCATAAATGTAAAGTTTGAGAGAATTGAAATTACGTAACTTAAAAATTCGAGAGACAAAAAATTTTGTAATTAAAAGTAATGATACTAAAATTACATAATAGAAATTACATGGAACAAATGTGCATTTTAGCCCTTATTTTTTTTATTTATATTTTTTTTAAGACACAGACTAAAGTGATTGTTAAGCTCTGGTTTGAAAAATTTATGACGTATTCCAGATTCAAAGCAGCATAATGTTTATCTTGCTAATGCTACACAAAGGTCAAATATTTTGTAAGGGTAGACTTAAGAGTATGATGACGGAGACATTTGGCAACTTGACATACACCATTCATTTTTTTTTTTCTCTTTCTCTTATCGTATATCTCTCTCTCTCTCTCTTTCCAATTTGAAACTCGTGCTTGCTTTGCTTCTTCTTCTTTTTCGAATTCTAGAATATTCCAATTCTCATTGCAACTCTCTGCGATCGTTTCTTTTTTCTCTCTGTTCTTTTTCCGTCTCTCCTCGGACGGCTAGGAAGCCTAGTTTGGTTTTGGAGGATCAGGTTCCAGATTCTCGAATAACTTAGTTCGACTTGGATTTATTGCTTGCAATTGCAAATGCACGAGCGTTGAAAAAGCATGAAGAAGTTGAGGAGAAAGATCGGAAAGTATGAGGTGGGTCGAACTATCGGCGAAGGCACGTTCGCCAAGGTTAAGTTCGCCAGAAACACCGAGACAGGGGAGAGCGTCGCTATTAAAATCATGGCTAAGTCCACCATTCTCCAGCACAGAATGGTTGAACAGGTCCATCTTTTTTCTTTCTACACCTCTCTTTCAATTTAACGTTTATGTTTTAGGTTTTAAGTCATGCTTGGTTGGTGTTCCTGCAAATTCCAGTCACCTAAGCAAATATGCTCTCATAATATGTTTGGGGAATCCTTAGGAAGCTAAATGATGGAATTGTTTATAATAATCATCATTACAGTTAAGATAGGAAACCTGGAAACATGAAAATGCTATCAAGGTGACAGAAAGCTTTTTGCTTGGAAGAATAGAGGGGAGACAGAGTAGCTGTTTCTGTTTTGTTCATTATTAGTAAAGCATTAAAATGGAGAACTCAGTGGTATTCTCGAAGAAAGTGACCATTTTTATCATGGATTTAGGCCTATTTTGTTTGACTCTAGCATTTCTGAGCTTAGGCAGATGCTGCATTGAAGCTCTTGGAGGAAAGATATTTCTCCTTGTTCTGTTCTTTTTTATTCAAGCAATGAATCGTTCTTTTTCTTCTCTATTTCCATCATGGTCACGGGCGCTCTAAAGTCTAAACAGGTTCATCTTGTAATTTAAGATGGGATTCTGTTTCACTGGTTCCAGTGGTCTACGGTACTCTGTAGAATATTAATGCTTGTACGAAGTTATAAATCAACACACATATGGCTGAATGGCTACAACTCTTTATGGAACTAAAGACTGAGTAAAAATTGCAATAAAGGTGGATATGGATTGGAATGCTAGTATATAAAAGTGTTCTGCTCTCTTTCCCTCTAGTCGAATTAGAAAAGTCTGTCTAGAGGGTTATGTTGCCTTCTACCGGGTCTTATATTGCATTTGACTGCATTTATGGTAGAATAATGATTCAGTTTGTTGTTCTGAATGCTCATTGTAATTCTTTCCATCTTTTGCTATTAGCTTTTCTAACTTGAACCATGCTATAGATTAAAAGAGAGATATCCATCATGAAGATTGTCAGGCATCCTAATATAGTTAGATTGCACGAGGTATGTATAGATATTCTAATATGTCAGGAATTAGACCATATTTCTTTCTCTTATATTTCTGACATTATTTTCAAATTTTAGGTTTTGGCTAGCCAGACCAAGATCTACATAATCCTCGAGTTTGTAATGGGAGGGGAACTATATGATAAAATTGTAAGATTTTATGTTTATATATTTTGGAATATATTGAAGGTTAATTCTTTTAAATTAGTAATCATTGTCGAGATGCTAACAAACTATATTTCTAATGATTTGATTAGGTTTTTTATTAGATTTTGTTTGTTGTTCATGACTTTATGTTACAATTACACTACTTCTGGACCTGTAGGTTCATCATGGAAAGCTTCCTGAAAATGAATCTAGGCGCTACTTTCAACAACTTATAGACGCTGTTGATCATTGTCATAGAAAGGGTGTGTACCATAGAGACTTGAAGGTGAAAGACAAAATATTATATGTGTGTGTGTATACATTCTTACTGTAATAAATGTTTTAAACATTTAATGCTCTGTCTTGATCAATTTTTTTTCTTCTCTTTTAAATAGCCTGAAAACCTTCTTCTTGATGCTTATGGAAATTTGAAGGTTTCTGACTTTGGTTTGAGTGCATTGACTAAACAGGTAAGATTGTACTCGTAAAATGAAGATGACTAAGCAGATTTTTTTTTTATTTTATATTTTTTTTTATAATTAAGAAGAAACATAAATTGATTCCATCCCACTGATAGCTTGTTTTTGCTTTGTCTCTGGATAATGATTTTGGAAATGGCAGAAGCTGTAGAACTAATGTCTTCCGTCATTTTCTCTCTGTCTTTCTTTGTTATAGGGTGTTGGCCTTCTTCACACCACATGTGGGACCCCAAATTATGTTGCCCCTGAGGTAAAATTGGTTATACACAACATGGACGTCATTCATAATTGTTGCCATGATCTTTAGCTGCTTTCCATATGGGTGATGGGCCACTTGTTTTAGATTAACAGTTTGATGTAATTCTCCATATCAAGTTTAGTTATGGTTTTATGAACGAATCACTGGTGATAAAATAGATCATTAGTATTGACAAGGATGGATCCAGAACTGTCAAAGGGCGCCCCAATTTTTTTAATAATAAATTTAAATAAATGTTAAAATATAATTGTTAAATTAAATACATCATGCCTTTTTTTATCTAACTTGTGAGTTTCGTTATTTAAATCATAAAATTCATCAGCAATAAAATGTATATCAATTTTTAATCAATCTCTTAATATAATCATATATTTATCATAATAAATATATTTCATCATAAAAATATAAAATATTTTTCCAAAGAGTCCAGGGAGAGGGGAGTGTCCTCTGCATTACA